CGGTAACATAGCCAAAAACCATCCCACCGGCATTGCAAAGAATTACGCCAAGCCTTACTCTTTTGCATTCACATAAACCACCAGCTACCTGTTAGTCATTAGAGAGAGAACTGAGCCAAAGCTCAATTGTTGATATTAGTACAGCTGTCTTTGCTACATTTGTTTTGGATAGAAGCCAAGACAAGTGCTGGAAGTGTGCAAGGTGAAACAGATAAGGGGATTTCCCAACATTTCATCCATTCCTTACAATTGAAGATGCAGGTGGGAGTTTTTGATACTAGAAAGGTTTCTCTCCCTCTCTCTTCGCCGCCAGTTTATTCCTACCGATGGCAGATAACCTCCCGCAAGAATTTGCTGTTTTGAGACGTGAGGAAGGCACTCCCCCTGCAGTGCCGCCACTCTCCCTCCCTGGCCCCAAAGATTCAACACAAGGATGCAGCTTCCAGTGCCAGCCAGGCCTCTACAGAATCCCATGTGGTGGAGGCATCCAAAAAGGTGCACCTCAGCAGTGTATCTGCCACCTGCCTTTCCCTGGCCACCCCGAGGGGGCAGCTTCAGCCAGCTCCACACCCTCTGGCAGAGGAAGGATTCTGGGCAGTTTTATACCTGCTTAGAGGATGTCTGCTGCAAGAGGTACAGAGCCCAGCCTCCGATGGGTATGGTGTGAACCAGCCCATCCCATCTCATGGGATTCTGACACTGGGGTCTGGGCCTGTACCACTGCATTCCTTCACGCTGGACTCCATTAATCAGCCTAAGGTATCTAATAAGTTATTGGGCCCAGATGTTTTCCATTGTATGTTACAAATGTTAATTATCTTCTAATTACTTATTAGCAGGGGCTGGGCTGGCACAGATCATGGTTGAAATGCAGCCAAGTACGTTCAGCGCTTTGGATAGCAGTACACGAACTAACAGCTTCTATTGGCAGGGAGTTTATTGGAAATTCTTATTATTCCCCCATGCCTCCAAATATTTACCCAAGAATTATGTGTGGCATAAAATGCCTTCACTGGTGTAGCAACAATAGGTAATGCACGTAGATCCTCACTGAGCAGCACAACTCATGAATAGCTTCATTTCAGGAATGTGACCTTTCACAGAAAGCAGAAGATTAACACATAATGGCTGCAGGGATAATGAATAAGGGGACATTTTAAAATTAAAGCTCAGGCATAGTAAAAAAAGTGGTGGTGAAATGGTATCATCTCACACTCTCTCTTCTCCTGGTTTTTCTTTATGCCATACAATAGCTTATTTCCCTAGCTATAACAGACTAGTCATTCTCCTTATAGTACAGATTCAATAGAACCATGGGAGAGGAAGCTGGAGTCATATTTATCTCCTGTCTCATCAACAAAATCATACATGAAGTCCCAGTTGCAGACTCTTTGTTGCTGGCTATGGTGAGAGTTGAAGGAACAGATAGTTGTTTGATTTTCAGATCTCTGATAGGGTACGCAGGGGTGGAAGCTACAAAAGGCACAATCTCGTGGCTTGCAAGCCAGTTTGCCGTGGACTTCTGGGGGTAAAGTGGAGGTTCAGAATTGGTCTGATCCAAGCTCGCCAAGGCCCAGGAGTCTTTCTGTTGACTTTGGATCAGCCCCCATGTCATTTTCAGAAAGGCACTTTCTGGACTGTACCCACACCGGTTTGTAGTAGTTGTTTCTTTGTTCAAGGACAGTTAGTTGTAACGCCTCTCCAGCACACGCTGTCAGGCAGCCCTTACAAAGGAGCACGCTCAAAGAGGAATCTGTCATTTGAACAACTCCTCATTCTGACCGACAACGTTGTAGGGTTTCCTCGTGTTAGAGTGATTTTTTTGCCAGGACACTCATTGTCCCCTTGACAAATGGTTTCAGGTTTCTTGCCTCAGCAACAAGGCCAGGGGAAAGCATGGCTTCCGGTGTATTCATCCTCTGCTATCAGGCTTACATGTCTCTTGTAAAATACCAGACAAGCTCAGTGGGCCTGGGCAGAAGGATGGGGTCTGGACAGTGAGTGAGGGAGTTGCATTCTTTTTTGAAGGGTCCGAGCACTAGACCTGGTGAAACATTTTTCCTGATAGTGCGGGTTAGCGGCTGTTGCTAGAATAGAGGCAGGAGTGCTGTACGGCCTGCAGAAGGACAATCTCTAGCCTAGAGTCACATTCGCACAGTTCTCACTCACTCATCAAGGCAAGACAAACCTGGAGGTTCCCATTGCTGACTCTTGGCATATGTCCGTACTGCCCGATACTGCAGCCAAGTCCAAATGCTGGGTTCCCATCTCTACTAATTGGTTACATTCACTCTGATTGACCAATCTGGCAGTCATAACAACTGCTAGTTTATGGAGCCTTGAAAAAAGATAAGGAGTACTTGTGGCACCTTAGAGACTAACCAATTTATTTGAGCATGAGCTTTAGCTATTAGATAAGCTATTACCAGCAGGACAGTGGGGTGGGAGGAGGTATTGTTTCATATTCTCTGTGTATATATAAAGTCTGCTGCAGTTTCCACGGTATGCATCCGATGAAGTGAGCTGTAGCTCACGAAAGCTCATGCTCAAATAAATTGGTTAGTCTCTAAGGTGCCACAAGTCCTCCTTTTCTTTTTGCGAATACAGACTAACACGGCTGTTACTCTGAAACTTGAAAAAAGATGGCATTCTTTTTGCCTGGTGAGTGATGGAGAGGGAGCTGCTCTCCCTCTTGAGAGGAGCCCCTCTTATTTCTCATAATGATGCTTTCATAAGGCCGATGCAGTTTGGCTTCTCGCGGTGGCTGATAGATACTTTATTGGGGCATCTGTCATTATTTGCAAAGATTAAAAACAGATAACCTCAAATGTTATTAAAACTCAGGGGCTTAGAGTCTAAGCAGTTGGAGTCCAGTCTCTGTCTGGCAAATGGTAACATATTTCTTCTTGGCACTGAGATTTTATTGATTTCCATATAATACACAGGGCTTTGTGCATTTAATTCCATCAAGTGAAGAAGATGGATTGGCACATGGTCACCTTCAGGCTAGTGATACAGCGTGTTTTATCCTAATAAGCATCAGTCTGCATCATGCCTCGCCTAAGGATTCACAAAAAGTTCATGTTGTCAAACAGGCTATTGGACATGAGGTCCTCCTGAAAGCAATGCAGAGAAAAATATAAATATTTGTTTCAGGACGGCTATAATTTTCCCTGCTGTGGTTAGATATAAAAAGTGAAAGTCATCTTCGTTCTCATTTGCACTACATGATTAATGAGAGCACCCTTCAGGCAAGCGTGCACTGCAGATTCTCAGGCTGAATGGATTCTTCACAGAGAAGAAGTATGAAGTATGAAGACAGTGCAGCTGACAGGCCAGGCAATACAAAGTATGCTAGGAGCTGGTGTAAAGGGAATGTTCTACAGTGACTGACAGCTGCCTCTTTAAGGGTTTCAGGAAGAGGAAATGATGTAACAGAGTCATTGTATGGTATTGTCATTGTACTCAGCTCAGTCAGCCCCTGCCCAAGATAGCATATAGTCGAAAGGCACAAACACAGGAAATAACGCAGGCCATACAGAGCGTACGTTAGTAATGATGCTTAGCACTGATTCTTCAAACCACTTTACAGACATCCTCACCCGGGAAGTCATAAAGGAAATGTTGGCTGTCATAATAGGCAGGACACACACACTCAGTAACTCTGACCACTGGGTAGAGGAATTCCGCAATCGTGAAGTCATCTGTCACCCCACAAGCACATGGAAAAGTTCTGGTTCAGATAATTCATGTACCTGTCTCTGTGAACTCCAAGTGTCTTGTTTCAGCGAAGAAGGAAATCAAAGCATTCAGAGAGTTTGACTGTATAAATTTCCTGCACCCTGCACCTCCAAAACACACATCCACACATTTGAATAGTTCCTTTGCCAATCTGAATGAAGGGGATGGCAACTTAAAAGGACGTCTTTTGTTTCCACGGTATACATCTGATGAAGTGAGCTGTAGTTCACGAAAGCTCATGCTCAAATAAATTGGTTAGTCTCTAAGGTGCCACAAGTACTCCTTTTCTTTTTTCTTTTTGCGAATACAGACTAACACGGCTGTTCCTCTGAAACCTGTCTTTTGTGTGAAGCCCAGGAACTAATACTTTCTGTGCTAATGGGATATGCCATCCATTTCTTTGTAAAATGAATGAGGTTCTGCTAACGAAGAAGAAGAGGAGAGCAGTTAAGTTGCATTTGTCATGATTGCTTGAACAGCTGACAGCTCATGGTGACATATTTATTCTAATATCTGCACAATTTAGTCTCATTTTACCAATCTAAATTATAGAATCCAGAACAGTCCAAAGCCTTTAATTTCATTATTGATGGTCTCACTGTCTCCCTTCCTTTGGGGTGCTGACCTCCCTAATGTTGCATGCAAATGACCACAATCTCCTATTTCCAATGTCCTCTTGGAACTGCGTTGGGGCTATCGACTCTGATCCTCTACTGTAACCTAATTAATTTCTCAGACACGCTCCTAGAGATACATATATGTTACATATAAGTCACTCATTTAAAATACATGATGCACCTTCAGCCTCCATCTCCCAGGTAACTGCATTCCATCAAGGCTGCATCTACTTTCTTTCTAAACTGTTGTCTTGCCTGAGCCTCCACTTTGGCTGTCCGTTCACTCTAACTGTGGACTGGAAGCCCTGCAGGGCAGGGACTTGCCTTATATCGTTTTGCCTGGAAAGCTCTGTGCTGACCCATGGTACTGTATACATATCAGCTACAGTGCAGGGCAGGAAGAGGAGCCAGCAAGCGGGGAAAAAGATTGCATGCCAGCAACTAATATAACGAGTAGAAGAATAAAAGTGTTACCTGAGTGCTTCAGCAGTGACTTCTGGGTGTTTGTAGTAAATTAGTACCTAGCATGGAAAGGCCAAGACCGTAACCATGTTCAGAACCCCACCAATGAAACAGGACATAGGTCCAAACTCTACCTGATTCTGGTTTTGCAGAAACAAAACCCACCCTGGTTTTTCTCACCTGCAGAAAAATGCCATCCACATCTTCCCTGAGTCCTGAGGCCAGCCACAAGTCTGCAAATCGCTGACATATTCCTGTGGATTTTCTAGAAAGCAGTGCATTCTGGGAAGCTATGGAACAGTTGTATCTTCAGTGTCTGCCAAGGTATTTAACCATAGTATCAATCAGATTCTGATCTTGCTTACTCTAGTGCAAAGCAAAAGTAATTCCATGAAGGGCAACAGAGTTCCAAACTCTGTACGCTCTGTGTGAGAGGAGAATCAGACCCCTATATCTCTAAGTAATCAGGTGAATATGACAGAGTACAGAATATCGTTTTGCTGATATCCTGGGCACTGATTCGCATAACAATGGTGCACATCAATGACACTAAAATAAAGCATGTGCCTGATATTTGCAGGTTTGGGGCCACAAAGAATTTATATTCATGTTAACCTGCTATATGCGATTGGTTTGGTTTGTTTCGTGCTGATTTGCTTGGTAACTTTGCAAAGACCCTGTTTTCCATGAAATATTTTATTCTCCTCTCATGCAGAATGGCTGTTTTATCTCAATCTAAAGGATTAAAAAAAAGTCAATGCAATCTATGTTATTTGATGTTCTAAAATGTTTATAGCATAGCTTCTGTGTGCTTATATTTTTTCTAGCTACAGATAACTTGTGGGCTTCAGTCTTTTGTAGTTCCCTTAATCTTCTAAAGTGCTACATAATTTAGATAGAACGAGGTTTTGTACATTTCTGCCTTTTAAAAAATTGCTTTTAAGTCTTGGCTTCAACTCAAGCAGCTGCTGAATCTTCTACAACAGTTGGAAGGTTTTCCAGCATTAAGAGATGCCAGTGGAATATACATGAAAAGGTTTGGCAACCCAAGATATTCAGATTAAGAATATTATTTCTTCATCCCATGTTCTCATTCCCTCTGTTCCTTCAATAATTCTCTTTACTTTGAATGTTGTTCTGCTTATTTTGTGCTTTTGTTTGTATGAAAGTTTAGGAAATACAAACTGAGGCTTCCTTATAGAACCAAAAGCTAGAGGATATTCCCCTCTGATCTTTTCTAGCTCACTCCCAGAGACCTGTTAATTTGCCTCAGTACTGACCTGCAAGCATGTCCTTTGACTCTAGACCTGGGCCACACACTGCTCTGTGAACGTATATCATTCTTGACTTGCAAGGCCTCCTGTCCTGCCAGCCCTGGACTTCTCCCAGGCTGACTACCAGTCCCTCCAAATTGTGAGTGAAGCTCTGCCATGCACTTGACTGAGCCCTTATGAAGTTGTTTTCAGCTCTGACTTTTGCCATGCATGAAACCAGGAATTCTTCCAGAGAGGAAAATGGCATGTGTAAATCCACTTTTCTAGCAGTTTCCAGATTTCCTGCTTTCCCGAAGTACTGTGTGCAGTGAAGTAAAACTCAAAAATTCCACTAAATTCAGATTCTGCCCGGTCATTTCTTGCTCTATTTTCATTTCCTAGAAGCACAGAGTCAGAGGCTTGTCCTCCCCGGATCAATTAACTTCTTTGCCTGGACAGGGTGGTTAACAACTGTGGGGAGATTTGTGTTATCGCTTATGATCATTTAGGGGAAAAATAAGAATTCTGTTTATTCAAAATCACTGCTGTTATGACTGTCTCGGTATTACCACCCCGTTTCAAATCGAAGATGCAAAAACTGTTTTTCTCGTGTGCTTAAATGAAATAAACCGCCCTGAAATAACATCACCTTGAGAACAATTAACTGTCCCCTCCACCACAAACCCCATAACGAGGCCCAGCGAGGGATTATCTTCCTTTCAGTCTTGCATATCAAAATAAAAGAGGAAAGAAAGGGCTTAGGAAAAGAGTTCAGAGACTTAATTGGAGGGGGAGGGGGAAACATTATTGCCTAGCTGCTGATTTTAATGTAGTATTGCACAGATGGGAGTAGAAGAATCAAGCTGCCATGAAACTTCATTTGAAGCTCACTGAACATTTTGCATATTAAAAAAAAATCCCGCTGGCAGCTAATCGAATAGTTGTTAAAAACAATATTCCTCTTTCCTGTGGTGTAGAATGTCATCCTCTTCCTTCCCCCCAGCCCTCTACAGTCTTCTCTCATTTTCTAACCCTCTGGAGGTCCTTGTTTTTTAATTGTTGTGATTAAATCTGTCGTGCATTGTCTGTACAGTCATAGGAGAACACAGCCTGTGTTCCCTTCTCCTAAGAGGGGCTGTGCTCGTCACTGCAGCTCTGTAAAGGTAGAACAGCTTGGGCTGTATACTTGGCAGGGAATCACCTGGGTTCAACGGTCCTTCCAGCAACCTCGCCTCCTGCTCTGCCTTCTTTGTCCGGATTCTCTTCTGCTCCTCCTTAGGAAGGCAGGAGAAGAGTTTTTATTGACAGCCTCACTAATACTTTAACAATGCTGAAATTAAAATGTCTTTGGGGGACAGGATGGTTCATAGGGTTGCCAATGTGACATAGAGGCTTTCCTCTCTGCTTCCAATTTCCTACCATCCTAATTGCCACCCGTGAGCTCTTTGGCCCCCTAGGCTGTCTCATCAAACAGGCGATAGTTCAAGTGGGGATGGAGACTGACCTACCATCTCACCCTCCTGGGTGTTCCCCCGAAGCTTGGGTGGAGAGGCGCTTGCCCTGCTTATGCCTCTGTGCTCCCTGTCTTGAGCACAAAGCAAAGGCTCCATTTTCCAGTATTGTCAGGCTGGCATGTGGGACACTTTGGGGGCTCAGCCAGAGCAGGGAGGGGTTCGGTCACCGCCTGCCCTATCACGCTGGGTGCTCCTGTACTGTGCAGCTTTGGCTCAGAGCCCTGCCACCCTGCTTTCCGCACAATGGCCTCCTGGCTTGTTACAGCCTGGATCTCCTCCAGCCCGCATCCTCTGCAGTGCTCAGCTCCACACTGGAGCCCTCACAGCACCTCAGCAAGTCCCCTGCTCCCAGAGAGAGACAGTCCACAGCACCAGCCCACTCACGCAGCTGAGGATTGTACCCTTCAGGCTGAAACACTGCGCTGAGCTGGTTGGTTATAAAACAAGATCAAGTTTATTACCAAAGAGCAGACGTTCCAGCGATACCAAATAGCAGGAATTGAGGCAGAAGTGGTTACAGACAAACAAGTAAAAATCCTCTGCTAAGACTAACACCTAACAACAGACCGGAGTCTTTTGTTCCAAGTAAGTTTTCTCACCTCAGTCTTTCTCCCAGCATGGCCAGTCAGTTCCTAGCCAGGATCCAACACAGAGCTCCGAGGGCTTGGTTTCCTTGTCTCTTCAGGTGAAGGATAACTAAAATGTCTCTTTGCCCCCTTAGATTACCCAGAGTCGATTGTTTCAAGAGGCAGGATGAATGCCTGCTGTTCCTCCCTTCCTGTGTGGACTGCCCATCCCCCAGCTGATTTGTATGTAAATGAGCTTCCATTGTTTTGATTCCATAATGCTTAATTTACATCGGAGGCAGGTAGAAAGTAGCCTTCCCGCCTGGCTGGGAGAAAACCTGTTTCTCCTTTTGTTTGGTCACAGACTTTAAAGCATAATATCAGTGAGTATCCATAATTCCTCAGGTTTCAGAGTAGCAGCCGTGTTAGTCTGTATCCGCAAAAAGAACAGGAGGACTTGTGGCACCTTAGAGACTAACCAATTTATTTGAGCATAAGCTTTCGTGAGCTCACTTCATCGGATGCATTCAGTGGGAAAAAAAATGCATCCGATGAAGTGAGCTGTAGCTCACGAAAGCTCATGCTCAAATAAATTTTTTAGTCTCTAAGGTGCCACAAGTCCTCCTGTTCTTTTTGCATAATTCCTCAGATAGGGTTAGTACAGACATTTCACAATGATAGTGAGCACCAGTGTTACTGGCTTTCATAAAAGACCTTACTCAACACACTTGTAGAGGACAATAATATTGTGTACAATTAATTCACCTGCTTATTCTTTGGGGTTCAGATCCCCTGGATTGTCATAGTGTACAGAGAACTCAGTTCATGCTGCTAATTTTGGAAATGAGATTTAAAAGCTCATTGACACCTGTGCAAGCTCATTGAATCTAGGAAGCTAAGCATGGCGATGCCTCGTCAGTAATTAGACAGGAACCGTCTGAGAAGAATTTCTCTGCACTGTTAGCACAGGCTAGCTGCCTACAGAAGTACCCAGGATCCTGGGAGGGCTTGTATAGCTTAAAGGCCATGTTGCTGTGGCTTCATTCTTCTTGGTATGCGAGCTGAGTAGATTAAACTAGGGCATGGATATGTCTCCATGTGCTGTAATCACACTCCCCAGCTGCAGGGGACACATGCCCTGGGAGTCCCAGCTGCCTTTATTTTATTTTTTTTAAAGCAGGGTTCTAATGTTCACGGTTGCAGAGACAAGCTTGAAAACATGACCCAAGTGTAGCCTAAAGGCTCAGAAACCAAGAGACACAAAGAACCCTCCCCCCTTTTTATTATTTAAGATCTCAAGCTTTTAAACCGGTCTCTAGTTTTGAGCACTTGGGCATGGCAACACTGTGTTAAACCGGTGCTGTTTATCACTGCCTAGCGCACACTGAACACACTTTGTAAACTTCGTTTTCCGTTATACCATGATCACCATATCGATTTGCATTGGTGTCGCACAGCACAGAGGGTGGCCCCACTTTGTTTGTTGTTATGGCAAACGACAACTCTTTAACAGTGCACAGCAACATGAGGCAAAAGGTTTAGTTTAGGAAATTATGCATCTACAGCAAGCACGGAGAGGAGGAATTTTAAGCAGAATATAATTTCTGAAATAGGAATTTGCCTTTTTATAGCACAGGGTGAATGAGAGATGTTCAGGCCAAACAACCTCTAATGATCTCAAGTGCAGTGCTGCAAAATCTCACCATTTTATTGAAAGTTTCATGGTATTTTGTGCCTTTCTTAAAGCCTCAGCTCCTGGAGTCATGTTATTAATAACAATATTTCATCTTTAATTAAAGAAAGTTCTAACCCTCATAATTGAACAGAAGAAGTTTGAAACCATGAATCATAGGACAGCAGAAAAAATCCAACTGTTGGTCTATTTTGGGCTTAAAAATCTAGACACTTTTTTTTTTTAATCTCCTGTTTTTTTGTGGCCTGAGTCATGAATTTTGAAAGCGTAGGGTTGGCAATACTGCAGGTGGTTAGCACCTCAGATTTAATGTTTCATCCAAAAGATGTGCCCTTAGCACCATAACATCCCTTAGCACCATGCTGGGGCACTGCCTCTGCAGGACTGATGCCCAGAGAACCGCCAAACACACACTCCTCCTTTGCTTGAAGGTCTCCTCACACCCAAATCTTGCTTTCTGGAGCCATGCTGAGAAATTAGCAGTTCATACAAAGGCTGGTACATGACTGGTACCTGCGCTACATATCCCAAAAAGTAAGCGTGGAAAACTGAGAATCCTTCCCTTGAATCTGCAGAATTAGGTCTTACTGGTTTACTTACTTCAGATGCAAGGGAAAAAAACCCCAAACTGAATGATGAGCTCCCATTTCTCTGCAATTCTGACCCCTAAATGTGCCAGTAAGAATTTATTTGCAAAATAAGCACCATCCAGGGAGCACAGCAGGCAGGTCTTTAAATTTACTATCCTTGTTTTTCCACAGGTTCCCCAAGAGTAACATTTGAAAGACTTAAATTATGGAAATGGATTGTTTGGTGAAGTTACAGCCCTGAATGGAGACCATCTGCGATGTAGCACAGTTTCCGCCATCCAACAGATTGCTAAGCAGTCCATGGTGATAAATCATTTCCCATGCAGACTTGCGCTCATAATCATCGTCCAAATCCATTCCTGATGTTCAACTGAGCCATGGGAGCATGTCGACGAGGGCGGCGTGTGAGGCTGCTTGGGACACTCCTGCTCCACTGCTGACTCCTGGCTACTTCAGCTGAAACAGTACAGAAGTCTGGAAACAGAAGCGGAAGAGCATGCACCTGTATGCAGTGTCTTTAGCAACTTGTATAGTAATGCCGGGGTGAAAGAAATTCCACCATCTTTAGAATTTTCATGAAAAATTCTCTGGAGTGAACATAGCAGGTTCCAAATCCCTTTGGGCAGAGTTTTCACCCGTAGAACTTGCTCTCCTAAACTTTAGGTACCAAAGATATTCCTCTCTATGTAGCCATCTTCTCACCTTCCCTTCCCTTCTCCATTGCACAATATAATCCAAACTATTGCCTGTATAAGGCAATAAAATATCAGCGCAACAATCTGAAGAGTAGGGGTTAGTTTGTGTGTGAGACTATTCAAAGATGTTAAGAGCCAAATGTTTGCCTAGAAGATGAACTGAACACTAATTTTTAAAATATTGATTAGCTCATTCCCCCCTCAGATTTCCATGTGCCGCTGCACTTCCCAAAGTGACCCAAGAGAAGGAGAAATACCGAAAGACAGGCTTTTCTTTTGGTATTCTACCTAGCTGTCAATAAGAAGAACTGGAAATCTTGTAAGAAATCCCACTGGAGTGAGATTTCCAGACTGGAGAGGATGGAATAAGTTAGTAAATAACTTTTATAGAGGCTTCCAGAGTTAATCAAAATATTCCTCCCAATGGCAGGCGTCTGTTCTCTCACATGGGAGACCTGTACAGTCACTGTAGATGTGAATTAGTAGAGCTGGTTGGAAAATGGTTCTTTTCCCCCCTGGAAAACTGTTGTGAGAACAACTGAAAAACGTAAAAACATTTTTGTTGACATTTTCTGTGATTTTTTAAAAAAAATGTCCTTGAAGGAACAAACATTTTTGGTTGAAAACTGATGTTCCAGGTTGTTTGTTTTTTAAAGAAAACATCAACAATTTTCAGGAAAAGTGGATAGTTTTTGCAAAAAAATTCATTTTGATGAAAACCAGGTCTGTCGCTGACCGATATTCAGGTGATCCAGTTCAAATGAACACTAGTAGAGCTGAGATGGCTTCCTTCCCCCTTTCCAAATCAGAGCTCTTTATGTAGGATGGGGACAAGTTTGGTGTCTTAAAACATTTGGATGGAAACTGGAAGGGCCCTCACCCTGATGCTGCAGTGGCCGTACAGAGGTGCCCAGACCATGGCAGTGGCTCTCTCAGTGGTGGAAGGGTTGGTCACATCTGCAGAAACCGGCATTATTTGTAGTGGGACCTTTCCAGTCCTTGTTTCCTGAGATGCTGCAATGAAAAGGACACCTTTGAAAGTACCATTAGTGAAGTGCTGACTACACGTTGTACCTGGCTCGCTCATAAATCCACTCAAGCAAGGAGATTCAGCGTTACAGCTGAAACACTGTCCTTAATTGTGCCCAGGTGTTGCAGCAGTCTCCAGGGTCTGGGGTATCCATCTTGCATATTCTAGTAGTGGATGGATCCGCTGGCATTTCTTCTTTAACCATGTCATGCCTTTGGGAGGTAAAGTTCCTTTCTGGACATATTGCAGGTTTGGGTTGGTCAATACACACTACGGAGGTGCAGTTTGTCTCTCCCTGGCTCTCTAGGCATTTCTATTGCACACGCCACTGTGTTATATGAAGGCTTTATTGTATTAACTGGGTCCGTATAATCTAACCAACATGCTGTTAGGGTCCTTCCCCAGATGGGAGAGGAGGATGGATGGTTACTTTAGTCTGGATACAGATTCCCAACTGCTGTTATGATACAAAAGCAAAAGAGCAATCAGAGGTGAAAGAAAACGAGCCAGACTCACTATGTACCCAGATTCTGGCTCCCTCTGCGTGAAGAGCACACAAGAGGGCCCTTGTCCCTGCTTGCACATCTGCACAGTGAGCAGAAAAAACCCTGCTCTTTTCACATCTCGCTGGGGATGCGGGGAGGTGAGAGTTCCACCAGAAATGGCAGACCCCTCCAATCCCAAATGCGGTTGGGCTGGAGAGGGCAGAGTCCATCCCTCGTGCACGGGAATCAGGAGCATGGGGCGATGCATGGTGCACCTATGTAAAGGCTTTAGCAATTGCCAATCGCGTGTGAGTGATGCCAGCGGCATTTAGCAGGTAGGACACCTGTGGGGATTGTGGTAGGTGCAATGCCACCTATTATCTCTTCCAGCCTATAGTGGCTTTGAAAGACCCAACGTGGCCCTGTCACTTAAGGCAGAGGCTGCTCCATTGACACCAATGGTCAAGGTATGACCACAGGGGGATCTGGCCCAGAGGTTTGTAGAAAAGGGAAGGTAATTGCCTCTGGCTTTATGAACAGGGAGAGCTGTTAACCCAACAGAAGCGGCAGGGAAATCCTGTCTTGCTGACAGACATCTGAGCAAAGAGGTTGAGGAGAACCTGGGTGTGCTGCTTTGTGGATAGTAACCTGCTCAGCAGGTGAGGGAAGTCTCAGGCTGCTTTTATCTCCTGCGCCCTGCTC